CCTCAGGAAAAGAGGGACAAGAAGGCCAGGGAGCTGAAGAAGCCTGGCACGTGGCGGAGTTTGTCCTGCACCAGAATGCCCCTGTATGTGCGAGGCAGCAGCAAATGGTGTCACACTCATTCTTGGTATGGTGGAAGCCAGTGAGAGCTCAGGCAGGGAAGGCACATGGACTGCAATTCTCCTTGTCGGGTGCTAAGAAGATAATGGATTTTCAGGAGGAAAAACAAAAAGGAACCACTGCAGTGTCTGATGGGTGGAGGATGTTGATTCTGTTACTAATTTATCTGTGGATGTTTAAAATGTGTAAGACATGAAACTTGATCATTCTAAGTGACGAAATGCAGTGAATACTTGAACATGGCTTAAACCATAGCCACTTGCATTTTCTGAGCTTTGACTTGAGCTAGAGCTCTGAATCCTTAAATGACAAGCCATCATTTTCTGTCTACTCTAGCCTACAGGAACCACTTTCATGTCCTTCATTTGTATGCATTTAACTGATATAAATACCCCATAAAGCTGGACTCATGCAATAATGGCTCTTTTGTGCCTGGCTTATTTCACTCAGCACAATGTCTTCTAGGCATTAATGTGTTCATTAATGCCATAGCATTTATAAGGATTGCATTCTTTTGAAGAGAACAGTACCCACTGTAAGTATGAGCTATATTTTGGTTTTTAATTCAGATATCAATAAACACCTGGGTTCTTTTTGCCTTTTTGCTATTGCGGATAGTAACACTGCCATGGAAACAGGCACACAAATCCATGTGCAAATTCCCATTCAAAACTTTGGAATGAACAACTAAGATATGAACTCACTGCATCATGTGTTATTTTCATACTTTATATTCTGGGAGATTCCCCTTGCTATTTCCAGTGATTCTATTCTAAAAGTAGATTTATCAGGGGTTACTAAGCAATTGGTATTAGGAGTTCAAAAAGAAAACCTAAGAGTTGGTTCAGTATTTTCTTTTTTAAATGGGAGAGCGGGAGAATGATAGGGCCAGATACTGCGGTAAGGAATTCTGGAATCATTTTGGTGTTGTGTGGATGAGGATTGCAGATAGACAGTGAAAGTTCTGTTTAAGAAATTTTGTATTTTTCTTGTATCTTCAACAAATGGCACCATCAGACAAACAATTTTATGTACTTATCTATAATTCTAGGGTAAGGCCTAGAAATGTGCTTCATATGCATTATAATTTGGCATATAAATAATGTTTAAAATCATGACTAAATGCAGTTATTTAGTGGGATGTAGTTCTCCATGGACTACATAAAGACTGATAGAGATATGAGCAAGAAGGGGCTAGCAAAGGAGGCTGAGGAGGGATTGCTGCCATAGAAGAAACCCAGTGAACTCTGAGTTTTTCTAATCCATGAAAACAAAGTATGCCACAAGGAAAGGAGTAATTACTCCCCAAGGACTGTCACGTAAGTAACCGTGTGATGATTGGATTTGGCACCGTGAGGGGAATCTACGTACCTGACAAGAGGAATTTGAAGGCCTTGAGGATACGGAAGTCTGGCTAGGGATCTGAGAAGTAGCAGCTGCTGTTCCCAATTCCACCCGTCACTGTTCAATTCAGAAGTGTCATCACTGAGAGAAAAAGAAAATATCGCAATGAGTGGAGGTGGCTTGGGGCGACTTGGTGGCTACATATGTCTGTAGAGGAAGAGGAGTTGCTGTGCAATGCAAGTGCATGTGAGGGAAAGTATGAAAGGGGAGAGGAAGAACTCCAAGGCCCACAGAAGGGCTGGCATGCGATAGGCAAGAGGAAGACAATCGTAAATCACAAGGTATGTGGGTCCGCAAGGTTCTCTGATGTTAATGAAGTGACAAGCTATGGTCACCTAGTGAGAGGAAGCAAGAGATAAGAGGTTTGAGGAATGATCAAAATGTGAAGAATCCTCCGAGTAGGCAAGTGTCACAGCATTGCCTGGCACACTGACACTTGGGTGTGGACACTCATTGTGTGCTGCGCTGGGCTCCTTCAGGAGAGCGCAGATGTGTCATTGTAGTCTCAAGAACCTTTGAGTCTTTTGAAGAAGGCTACTGCTCACATACGCCCTCCCAACAGTGCCCAAGATTGTTTGCATCCTAACAGCATCCATTGTTGGTTGCTGTTGTTTTCTTGATGACCCTTCCAACAGGGACTGTCCCTTGGAATGTCTGAGAGAACCCTCAATAGTTCTGGACAGACACAGAGTGTGATGGCTTATGTCTGAACTGTGGCAGAGAGTCCTCACTGCTCTGAGCTTGTGAGGGGAACCTCAAACATAATCCAGGTTCGTTGACTACTAAGTTAAACCACATTGCAGATAGCTATAAGTGAAATAACCATCCTAGGAAAAGTGGTTTCATATTCTGATTTACTTCAGGGTACTGTAGTGTTGCTGAAGCAAGAAAATAGAGCTAAAATTCAGAAGTAGAAAACTCAAACTTGTTCTAGCAAGAATTTTAACTCTCCAAATTTCTTTTCAGTTTCTTTCTTCTTGTACATGAATAAACCATTTTATCATACTGTAATTTTCTTTGTACTGACTTAGAAGTTACCTCATTATAGCTTTAAAAAACTGTGTAGTTAGAGCCTAAGCTTATGTAATTTATTTTAATACTTAAAAATCCACATTTTTATTAGATTTCCTCATATTCTTTCTTTGATGTTGTGATAAACATACCCTTTTCCCATCTCATACTTTTCTGGTCTAGTTCGTTCTGCATCTTCTTTCATCCTCCCCATCCCCAAGGGAACAAAATTTCATTTCTCTCCCTGTTTTCTGAGTACAGTGGCTTACCCAACTAGATAAATACCTGGAGAGGAAATAAGCATGAGATTAAAGTGAAAAATGCATAATCAGCCAATTATTCATCTCTCTGATTTCTCTGAATTATTCTCTAAGTTTCAAGGTAGGTTCTTGGAAACCCAGTGGACAAAAATATTAGAAAGTCAAAAAAAAAAAAAAATCAACCAGGATCAATCAGAATCAATCAAGGACTTAATAGTAAACTCCAAAATGTGAAATCTGTGGTGACTCATTTTTCCCATGAACCCTCATAAATACAAGCAAAGAGATATTGATATTGGTCTTACCATACCCAACCTTTTCCTTCCTGGGCCTCTTGATTTCCCAGAAAACTCTGATGTCAACTGGGTACAATCTGAAAATGGTGGAAAGTGGTTTAGCTCCATCTTCCGTCTACAGAGAGTTTTGGTGGTGTGCTGCAGCATCTGTCCTGTACTATTGGATTCACTTTCTGTGTGCCAGAATTTCCCTGAGTCTCTTTTAGGGACCACCACAGACTATGACTCATTGCTGTTCAAGAAACCGCCTCCAGCATCAAGGAGGTCATGAACATACGTGTGATGAAGAATAGCATACAAGTGCAGCACATGTGACAGGGGAGTCAAAACTGCACCCAGACATTTAGGCTAGCATTGGAAAGTCGTGGAAGGTTTCCTGCAGGAAGTGAGATCTCTGATGCCTGGTTGAATCTGCCATGTCTCAGTGGTGTAGCGAGCAAGAACTACAGCAATGAGCAGGCAAGGGTTTCCAGGGGTTATATACGGTAGTGGATCCTACATGTGTGCACATGGCTGGAGCACAGAACCGGATAATGCAATGGCTTCTATGACATGTGTGAGTTTGGAGTTGTAATCCTTTTAGCAAAGGGTTTGGAGGCAGTTCTGCAATATTACAAGAATGCTTTAGCCACAGAAACTTGCAATTTGAAGTCCTGTTACACTATCTTTTTAGTAAATTGTACCCTGTAGCATAGAAAAGAATACTGCCACAGAGAAATGTGATTCCTCTATAGATCATAAAAGGAAAATATCAGGATTCACAAGTTAATCCATGACACCTGAGTGCTGGATGTAAAATGTACTGACTTCTGTTTATAACCAAGTTTTTTAAAGCTCATTAATTTTGCCAAGAAAAGAGGATGTCCAGCTTTGGTCTGTTAAAAGCCAAGGTCACTTTTTATTCTGACAACATAAAAGCCACTTGACCAAGCTGATGTGTTCCCAAACCTGGTTCAGATTTTCTTTCCTAATGGCTTTTGTGAATGTAGGCTGAAGCATTTTAATGGTACATTAGGGAAGGGTAGTGAAAGTTTGAGCATAGAGAATGTGGGTTATTATAAACTACAGTGCCAGTCCCTGATTGAGAACTTCCCAGTGTAATCATTTCATGAGAACACTGAAAACACTGTTAGCCGCAGTATTCATATTTGTCATCTTTCATTGGAAAAGAGTGGTTTTTACTTCCTCTTCCCATCTTTTTTGTTTTACTTTTCATTTCTAATAACAAAGGTATATTTTAAAGATATACAATTTGAGGCTTTGATAAACACATAGTTATCAATGTTGAATTGACATGAAATTAGTTGAAATTGAAATAAGTATACATAATAAAATGAATATCACTATCAAACAAATTACCATTACCTTCTCATGCAATTACCCTTTTAGCTTTGAGTTGAGCATGTCAGAAATTGACCATTTTAGTAAATTTCTAAAATACAATGTAATGCATATTAATTATAGTTATCGTGTTATACACTAATGCATAAATTATTGCTCCTTTTTACTACCCCTACTCTAGCAATTAAGCAATTAAAGGCATTAAGCCATGTGTAAATGTGATTTCACAGGAAGACAATGGCTAATATTCCTCATTGTTACTTTATTCCATGTCAGTGTTCCATAAATCCCTCTGGGCCAATACTTTCCTGCTACAGCAAGGAAGGGTCTTTGTGAATGAGAGAAGCCCAGGTTCAGAGCCCCATTCTTCTATTTGTTGATCTGTGACCTTGAGCAAATCCTTAGTTTTCTAATCTACACAGTTGATGTTAGCTGTCTCAGGTTCTGTGATAATGGGATGAAATGCTAATACGATGTTTCAGCCCTAAATAGGCTCTACAGATCATCTTTGCTTTTTCCATATGGCAGTTTGTTTTATTATGAACATCTTTTCTTTATTTTCTTCTCTAGGGATATGAAACCTGACAATATTTTACTCGATGAACATGGTAAGTGAATGATTTTCTTTGTGATCACCTGTATGACAGGTACGACAGATATTCCCAACACATTGATTATGATTCATTTGAGGCATACACACATACTGTATGTAACCTTCATCTGTGTGTAGGAGAGACAAAATCAGGAAACTTTATAACAATCAAACAATCCAAAATAGACTCTTTTATATACTTTTTAAATTTATTACAGTTTATTCACTTTGTATCCCAGCTGTAGCCCCACCTTCATTTCCTCCCAATCCCACCCTCCCTTCCTCAACAATAACAAGACTCTTAAATAACATTGAATTGACATAATAAGAAAGTTACTCTTTACTCATTTTTTTCCCCAGTACTATGTCTCTTCCAGAAAACTATCTGGTTGTTTTAGTACTGGTTTTCCTTAATCTCTTTCAATGAAAGATAAAGCTGTTCCAAATGTAGAGCCTTTGTCAGGTAATAGGACTCACGAAGTAACTGAGAGGACTTCATGAATGGAGCCTTTCATAGTTTGCATTTTATGAAGGCAAACTCCTTCGGCATTTATATAGGAGATATCAAGGCTTATGTTCAATTTTTTTCAGATAAGAAAAGAAATAAGCTTAAAGAAAAATATAATGTAGGCAAAAATAGTATTATTGAATCCAGATTAAAAAAAATTCATAGAGGAAAATGGCAATAATCATGAAGGGGACCACGGATGACTAAAGTTCAAGAGCTCTGGTTAAATACAAGATTTTGCCAACATAATGAAACGTGCAAAGTCTCTTCTTAACATGTTTTAATTTTATGTGTGTAAGTTTCTTGCCTGCATACCTGTCTGTGCCCCGTGTGTGTACAGGCCAGAAGAAGACATAGTACCCCTGGAAATGGAGTTTCAGATTGCCGTGAACCCCATGAGGATGCATCAGTCAAAACTGGGTCCTCTGAAATACATAGACACTGAGTGTCTTAACCACTGAGACATTTCTTCTCAACATTTTCAAAAGTCTGTTTGGATGTGTTGGTACTACATCAGGGAATACTGTGTGGCACACAGCTTGCACAGCGTTAATGGGAGAGTGCTGTTCATGGCTATAAGTATTTCCAGGCTGGTGGCAACTTATTAAGGTAACTGAAAACCTGCACACAAATGACAAAGCAGTCTTATTTAAAGACAGTAGAGGATAGATACACTGCAAAGGAATGGTAGCCTACTGGAGCTAGAATGTCTAAAAGCCCCAGTTATCGTCTGAGGATTCTTTTTGTGGAGTTCAGGAGAAACAGTTGGTTGCTAGGAGTAGGGTCTTTCTGTTTTGCTTGATAGGCTTGAGTGATGTAAGCCTTTGTTTACTACAAATGTGCTTTCCCACAATGCATCTGATTTTAGTGACGTGCATGCCCAATTTTGCAAAGCATAAAATAGTGAACAGAGGGTTTTACCTGCAAGCTCACTCAGAGAATACAGTTAGTTGTCTTAATGTACACAAACCCCAAAGCCTGGGTTCTCAGCTGACATTGCCTGATTCAACAGTTGCTGTTTCATCCTTGTTCTGTGTTGGAAAACTTCTGCAAAGCAAACCTAAATCTGTGAAGACCCTTATTCATTCAACTTTGATAAGCAGGATTTACTATTAGAACAGAACCTCCAAGTACCATTTATTCTTTATTATTTATTTGCCTGCATGAATTGCCCCACCTAGGCTCAGAAAGCTAAGAAAAACCTTTGTGCATGGCCTCTGATCTCAAAGCACAAAGTCATTACTTATTTATGGACTGTCTGAAGGGATTTTTTCTCCCCACTTCCTTCCAATGTCTTATTTCTTTACCTTTATAGCTTCTGACATTTTGGAACACATTTCTGAACCTCAGAAATTTGAGCAATGCTGAGACTTAGCGTGAAGGTGACCTTCGTGGACACACCATCTCTTCCAGCCTTTTATGGGAGGCCTGGTCCTCCCATGCCTGATTTAAATACACTCTACAAATCTTCATAGCTGGGGAGAAGGGCAGCCCACACAAGTCACCCTTTTGTGATTTAGACAAAAAGCAATCCTGTGCCGCTTTGTAGAAAACATGACTGGCCAACAGAATCAGGTTTTGGTCCACTCCTTACCTTGCTTGAGAGACAGCTGCCCTTTGGCAGGAATTCCTGTCACTTCATCATTTGTAAAGGCTCTGAGTAGAGACTTTACCAATGGAAGCCTTTTCCATTCCAGTTTTAATCTTGGTTCTTAGGACATGCTTCATCATGTTTTTACTACATACGAACCTATTGTTTTTCATTTTATTTTATTTTATTTCTCCCCATTTTTTTTCTTGGAAAGTTGGTGATTATAGATTAGGAAGAAAATGGGTTAATCAACTAATCTTCGGGTTTAGCCCCACAGAGAGCCTAACCCCTGTGAAAGGCTGATTATAGAGCTGTTTATGGTATGAGGAGTAGAGCCAGATTGCTTTAAAACCCAATTCATTACTCACTAGCTCTCAGAATTTGGTCAAGTTGCCTTAACAGTTTCTGTGTCCTCAAGTATTTTGAAAAACAAGAATACTTACATCTTAGAGTTATTACAAGCATTTGACACAACACTTAGAAAATATGATACAATGTCAACCACTAAAAACAAACAAACAAACAAACTCTTAGAACCAAATGGGAGTGTGACTTCCATGAGATTATAGAGGCTTTCAGAGCTGGACAAGGACTGTACTGACGTGCTACGTGGCTTTGTGTAGAACAACCTCTAAAGTCCAGATTTCTGTGGGTAGAACATATGAATGTTAAGCACCTACTAGTCTTCCCCAGAGAATTACTTTGGCTTTCAAGATGTGCTGTACCAAAGAACCTTAGGTCATTTAACCTTAATCTACAGGTAACTTCACTTGAAATGGTCCATTCTGGCTTCTTTCAGTTACACAGTTGTCTGAGGTCATGTTCTTGGCATTTTCATTTTGGTCAGGATCTGTGGCTTGGAGTGTAGAAACTGTCTTCCCAGTGTTTCTGAGGGACAATTCCAGTGTCACAGATGATGGGTAGCTCCAATGCTCTTTCTCAATCACAAGGCTTTGATTTCAGTTTGAACTCAACAGAAACAAGAACTATATTGTATTTGCATTCTGAACTCACCTTCAGCATTGTTATTTATAATAAAAGAAAAAAATGCTCTGGAGGGACTGTGTGAGTGAGATAGAAGCAGACAAAAAGAAACTCTGGGGTGCATTCTATAAACCCTATCCCAGAGTTCCCTTCCTAGAGAAAATAATTGTTTTGAAGTCATTTTCACTTAAGTCACAAAAATAAATAAATAAATAAATAAAGAAAGAAAGAAAGAAAGAAAGAAAGAAAGAAAGAAAGAAAGAAAGAAATAGATGCATGCAACAACAAAAACCTGGGACTTCAACACTATTCATGAAGCAAAATTAATTGCACTTAAGTGATTAAATTCCCAAGGCTATACCCTCCCAGCTCCTGATGTGGTTGTTTTTATGAGAACCAGCAAACCACAAACAGATCCCCACCCTTTGGAGCAGCAGCTGCTCTGATGTTCCACGTTCCTCTTAGAGTTGTAGCTTCGTTGATCTCTGTCACCACATTCTCAATATTTCACTGCTGGCATGGAGATTTTAGCAACTATGAAGGGCAGCTGTGTAATTTTTCTTACATGCCTCTTCCTGTGCCCATCCTTCCAAATGAGTGTTGTGTATGGCATCTAGGTTTACTTACCTGTGTTCAGCAACAGGATGAACCTGCTTTTAGTCTAATAATTTATATTGCTCATATTCACCAGAAAGTAGTGGTATTTCTGTGAGATCATCCAAGATGGAGACCCGTTCCACAGTGTGAATGAACATCTTTTATGATTCAGCATTTGACTGAAAAAAATGTTTTTCATTTTGAGCACACAAGTTACTGCTCTCCCCAGAAATCTTGCTTATACTAGTTCAGAGCCAACATGGCAGCAGGTCTTGGATGAATCACAGCTGACTGTCCTGACACATATTTTTACATCCTACCAGTTGTAGGATGTAAAGACATCACTTCCATAATGTCTATAAAGGTGTTTTTGTTTTGTTTTGTTTTGTTAAGTTATTCAGGAAATAAATGCTACATCCAGAGGAGCAATAATGCCTGCCTGGCATATCAAAATTTTATGCAATTATAAAATTATCTATAATTTAGCTTCTTAATATCATCTGTAGTCACAACAGAGGGAAGTAAAAATACAGTCTTGAGAGTGAGAAAGAACAGGGTCTTCTATCTTCTCAGCTTCCTCCAAGAGTCCCAACAAGTGCTGAAAAATCCAGAAGGCCCTGTAAAATAAATTGCGGTTATTATGCTGTCCAAGGTACTGAGATCAAGAAATCCTGTATCTTGTACCAGAGAACTTTATCGAAAACATCTTAAAATGCCCAGGTCAGCTCCACAGCAAAGATTTAATGAATCTAGGATCTCTGAAGTCCTGGTGTTGAGAGACCTTATTCCAGGAGTTGCTTCGTGCCCTGGATTGTGGAAGAAGGCATACACTCCCCTCATTCTCAGGGAAAGCCCCGATTCCTTCAATCAGCATCACAGTGAACCCACCCTTGGAGGTCACCCTCCCAGCCCAGGAAAGTGCCAGGAAAGCAGGAGCTCAGCACATAAGCACCTGGGAACTGAGGCTCATCATCATGGCTGGTGCTGGAAAGTTCTTAATGGCTTGGCTAGAGCTCCAATAAACCCTAGGCCAGAGAACAGGCTTTAGGAATTGGACTTATCCAAGGAATCCTTTACGTTCTACTTCAACACAAGTCTAGGTAGCTTTAGAACTGAGTATGGAAAACATCCTCAGGTTTCAGGAAAGCCAGGCTTTTCTGTCAGTCCAGTTATGGTTGTATGGGAGTGAAACACAGGCATATATGTTATACCTTCGTTTCTGATAGTGACTGTCAACAATTCTGATGTCCTGACAAGTGTTGGGCTAAGTCTTCCATAGTCACTGCTTCCTCTCATCTTCTCACAACCTTACCTGGTAAGAAGACTACAGTCAGAGTGCACAGGGGACCTTTTCAAGGTGACAGAGCTGGTTAGCAGTGGAGACTTAAAGAATTAAAGACTTAATTAAAGACTTAAAGACTTAAAGCCATGCATTCTGACTCCAGAGAACAGGCTCCTAACAGTGACAATTTCAGGCCCACTTCATTTGCATCAGATTCCAAAATTCTCCAATATTTGGAGCATAAACTATGAAGAAATAGAAGAAAAAGAAACCAAATGAAACAAGTTCTACTATGTTAAGAAGAGCTTCTGAAATAATTTATTGACGAGATTTGGCCAAGAACACTTTAAACTTTCAATGTGATGAGTGCTACTTTTACCTTTTGAAACTGTCATACAAAAAAAAAATGTTTTCTGCATGAAACGGAACTATGTTGATGGAAATAGTGAGAGCTTTCTGTAGCAACGGGTCGGATGCAACCAGAAGTAGGCTGTGAAGTTTGTGAGAGAAGTTTTGGACGCTGGAAGGAGACTCAGGGGCTATTCCTTCTGTAACCCCATCTCATCAAAACAGCGGACACATGGAAATGCAAATGTCAACACTTCCAGATCCTAGAAAGACAGATAACTGTCATGCTAACAACTAATATAATGGCTTGTTGGCTTGAATTTTCTGTGCTGCCCTTTTCTTCCTTCCAGATAAATAAATGCAGGAACCCTAAAACATTATGAAAGGTGTACTTCCCACCAAACTTAAGCGCTACCCATACATTTTATCGCTGTGTGTTACACCCCCCAAAGACTATTTCATTGCCCTAGATGTCATCTAATCTACCCATCCTTTATTTTTTTAATACAGGAAATTTTAGGCTCAACATAGAAAAAGGACTTAATGTATATGATCTGTCAGGGAGGGACAGAGGTCTGGACACAAACCATGTCTCCTGGCCCCCAATCCTTTTAAAGAAAATTCTGAATTTTGCCTTTTGTCCCTTGATAGAATTTCTTTTGCTAGAGGTCACCAAATACAACCTTCCCTGTCTGCCTCCCTCATGCAAATGGGTCCTAAAAGACCAAGAACAGCAAAAACAACAGAAAAAAATCTATACCCATACCCAGGACAGCATATAGTAATTTTACTTGTATTTTTAAAAACATCCCATAAGACGCCATAAGAACTGTGGTGCTTTGAGAGACTTAGACTGGATCCTGTACGGTACGTACAGGATAAACAGTCTGGCCTAGAGTCAGCAGACAATAAAATACGGGGAAGTTCCTGGAGCACGGAGCATCTACCAAATTTCAAATAGTCTGAGGTTGAACTGCAAGTTTATTGTCGGAGACTAATGGCTGTGTATTGTGCTCTGGCTGCTGCAGACCTGCTGGTTTAAGACTTCATTGGCCTTGAGGCTGAAATTAGGGAGTTTCACTGGCTGTTCTCAGTTGGCAGCCAGCACACCAGAACCAGCAGGCTCTGCGTCCAGATCTTTCCACTATGATGGATGGCTGTTCTCAGTTGGAGGGATTTAACATTCTCCTGGTCTTCCTCTCCCCACAGGGCATGTTCACATCACAGACTTCAACATTGCTGCCATGCTGCCCAAGGAGGCTCGGATCACCACTGTAGCTGGCACCAAGCCTTACATGGGTGGGTATGAGCAGCTTCACAAGTGTTTCCCGTTCATAAGAACAGCTCTTCTGTGTCTCGTTCTCCTAATACCACTCGCTGGGGGCGAAATTCGCACGGACTTGGACTGGGAGCAGATAAACTCCTTTCCAGTTGGCTTCACCAGGGGAGCTGTTGAGTTAATGACTCTGAAGGGAGGCCGAGGCATCTGCATTAGCTACATGTGATGATCTGGATTCATCAGGGACATTGATCACACTCTGCAATCTTATGACCTAATTAGCTGCCTATTCATTTCTGAACAAAAGTGTGAATTTTGTCAATGGCTAATTGCCTGTGTATGTGGAAGGGTTTTGAGATGCTAGTGACACATTAACAAGCAAAACACACACACACACACACACACACACACACACACACATACACACACGTCTCCACCTCATCGAACTTACATGCCAATAGAAGAAGATACAAAACAAATCAAGCAAAAGGAATCAGGAATAAGTAGAGTCAGAACATATGATAAAAGTAGTGATTTCAGTGTTATTTAGATAATACTATATGCATGCACAGTGTGTAAATTATCACAGTACCTTCCCAGTTATGGGATTAGCTTCCATTTTATTTCCACAACAATCTCATGAGTTAGTTTTTGAAAAGAAGAATAAGTTATGCCCAAAAACTGCTCTGTTATGTTCATGTGTTTATTTACAGTGATATGTGAATCCGGTTTTTGTCTTGATGATTAAGAATTCACAACGGGGTAATTCATGATATAGGGCTAGGAGTCAAACGGCTCGTAAAATCTCCATTTAATTGTTGCAACGAATCAGCTACAAATTCCAACTTCAGTTGCTAATGCTTTCATCTGTTTTAGTAGAACTCACTGTACCTTGGGTCCACTCTGGAAAATATAGAAAAATATTTATTGGGGCGCATGGAACGCTTCCCTTTCCCATATCACTCCTAAAGACGTGACTTCATGCTCACAGTCATCTGTTAACTCTTAGATCGGCTGTAATAACCGGACCGTAACGTTCAGGTTTGGGTTAGATGTCTGTCTGTCTGCCGAGCAAGCCGCTTCCTGAGTGAACAGAGGCTAGTTGCTCATGAGGGTCTGTTGACTGTGTAGTCAAGTCTTAGCGGTAGAAGACAGAACTTGGCTGTGTTTGGGGAGACTAGGCAGAACCTGTGGTCTGGCTCCACAGGGTATCTAAAGTGTTGGGTTAGAGTTAGAAGGAATCTCAAGGCTCTATGGCTTTCCTGTCAGAATCAGGCTTAGAAAGTCATTAGGTTACTACGGGGCAAGCTGAATTGACAAGCTCTGCCAACCCTGCGGCAGACGACTCTGAGTACTTGTGGGCGGGATTCACATTTTGAAACACAAGCAGTGCTTACTAGGAAGGAAAAGATGAAAATGTGTAAGAGCCAGCCCAGTCCTCCCTCCGTCTCTACACTGGGGTGTGAAAATCCAGCCTGGTGAGATGAGTAAGTGAGCCCTAAGAGACTACTTTCAAAATTCACTGCACTGGATTTTTAGATATTTGATGCGTTTTAACAAGCAAAGGGATTAAAGTTTATTAGGCCTTGATGATCGATAAGCTATCAGTGGGGTGGGGGTTGGGTAGCAAGCAGTGAAAGCAGGACACTAAACAATGCAGGAGTGCTGGAACATGATAGAAGAAAATCCGCTCTCCACTTGTGTATCTCTGCTAATTAGTTAAGACTTACCATTGTTGAAACTGAAGGGATTCAGTAAAGGGTGTAATTAATGGCAAAAGCTAGATAAAGGCAGAGAATTTCATACAAAAATGTTCGAACTTGGAAAATTAAGGAAAAGAGCAGTGACATTTTCAATTTTTCTTTTCAGTTTTTCATTCTCTTTCCTCCCTGTGATGAGGGGGAAGGGGACTCCTATTAGAAAGGCCACCACAAAATTGTCCCTGAATAAAAGAATGAGCCTTATTTTATGTAACATTTGAACAACTGCAGATTTCATGGCTTTCAATGACCATTGTGGGGGATATATTTCTTTTGTCACTTCTCAAATGTAATTCCACCCATTTTTTTCTTCCTAAAACCCTTGGCAATCTAGTGATAAAGAAGAATACCTAGGCCTGCTGATCTGTCCAGTTTGTTCCCCAGGTTTCCTGGGTTTCCACATTATAGGCTATTTTCTTGGCACCAAATCAGAAAGTGTGCATCTGGGGTTTCCAGGGATGGTTTCCATGGTGACAGAAGCAAGGGGAAGACACCTTTCTCTCCTCTCTCTAGCCATTTTAAGTATAATATCTGTATAATTTAATTTTTTTCACAGTTGTCATTTCTAGCATTTTCATAGAACAGAGGTAGGAAATTGGAATCTAGGCTCAAGGCCAGGCACTGTCCCACTGTCATTTTTTTAATGGACAATTGTAGTATTTATCGAAGCCTTTCTGTGGGCCAGACAGTGTGTCAGATGCGCTACACCCATTTATTCATTCGTTTTTTTTCTCAGCCTGCCCTAGGAGCCTGCCTATACTTATCATTTTTAAATCAAGACAATCTGGCAGTCAGCAATTTGCCATGATCTGCATGGGAACAATTAATCATCTTGGAGTAAAAATCTTAGAATTAAGTCAAGCTTAGCCTAGCTTGGGATACTGAGAGGCCTAAAGGATGAAATGTTGTTCTGGGTCATTTCCACCCATTGTTCTTCAAAGGCTGAAGCAGTTTAGTTTGTCCAGCATGATGAGAATGTTTCTCACTGTATCCCAAAAAAGATGTGGGACCACCATAGTCCATAGCTTTACCTACCACTACTTTTGCCTTTTGGTTCTTTGATAGACCTCTTTCCATGGAGAATTATGGTTACAAGCCTGCCTTTTCAGTATATATATATATATATATATATATATATATATATATATATATATAT